GACTAACAAACTTGCATTTCTTTTGGATGTTCTTTAAAAGTACAAAAAGTGGCTTACTACAATAAAGATCAGCAAATATATTAAAAATATACACCAAGTTTAGTATACTAAAAATTTTTTGTAGTTTTGATTATACAAAGAATATATTTGTATCAAGAGTCTAAGGTGAGGGTAAATGAGATTTACAATTTCTATTCATTGTTTACCATATTACTTCAAGTCATGATGAATATATATCCACAGTGAAGAATTTGTGTGTGTGTGTGTATGTATGTATGTATGTAAAATACACATATATATTGACTCTTTCTTTCCTATGTATTACATTTAATTCCTTGGAAGGAAAATGAGTGTTAAATGAATTTGATTTCTGTTTGGAAAGAATCATACAAAAAACACAGCTTTCCTCCAAAACTCGAAGTCACGGAATAATTAAGTGTTAACTTTTTTATTTGATTAGAAAAACATTAAGGAGCAAATGTTCAAAGTAGAGTACAGTTAAGTCAGCTGAACCTCCATTCATGCTAATAGGAGGCAGTTGGCTAAGTTCCCTGGACAGTGCTTTGAATGTACCCCTAGAACTTTTATAAACGTTGTGAAGCACATTAAAGCATGGAATGTTTTTAGATTTTCTGCTCCTTTTAAACACAATAAAGAAGAAAAAATATAAAGGCAGGCAGACTTTTCTTTCTTTCCTTTTTTTTTTTTTTTTTTTTGGCACATGGGAAAGAAGGATGTGGACATTATTTAATAATGGTGTTCCTGGTTATGAAGCTCTTGAATATTATACAGTTAGAAGCCCATAAGAACACCCCCAAATTTATTTGGTACTGGGCACTACCATTGTAGATGTCTCAGAAATAGTCTCAAAAAGAAAAGTAGTGATCCTGTTCAGAAAAAAACAAAACAAAACAAAACATTCTTTCATTTCAAAATTTAACAACAAATACAGTATTTCTTTTAATGAGTCAGTAAGGTTTTTGTGTGGCTTCTCTGTTGACGCATACACACACAGTTTTAGACAAAATGACTTGTAGATTCCAGCACGCAGTTCTAAAATGACCACTTATATGAGGTGGCAGAGGGATGGAGGAGCCATAGACTGAGCCCACCTTGATAGTAGTAGATTCATTAAACCGTAAGCTGTAACAGCTTTGTTGTTTGATCAAATACTGCCTTTGAGGAATGCTTAAGAAAAGGGACTTGTGTCATAATTGTCTAAAATATTTGAAAACTTTCACATGTAAGAAAGATGCTACTTATTGTGTATCGTTTTAAAGAACAAAAATAGAAGCAATAGACAGAGGAAGAAAACAGCTCACTTTTTTACAGAGCTCTCCAAAAGGGAATGAAAAGCTTCTTATTTGCAGGAGCTAAACATAGTTGAAAATGTACAAGGGCTTCAGTAGTGTCTCCTAATCCCAGGTGATTTTCAGGATTCATATATTATTGTCATTGCCATTATTTTAATACAGATCCCATAAGCCACACCCTTGCTTAATGAATTGGAATCTCCAAGATATACCTGTAATAAAAAAATAACTACTTAGTAGGGAAATAAAACAACCTAAGAAAATATAGTCAACAAGGTCTGGGGATTAAATTTTCACCATAATGGTCAAGATCATACAGAATGGTGATTATAGAGCTCAAAGCATGAAACAAAATTCAGATATACAAAATTAGAATAAATTGTCCATAAAAGTTTGATTACACCTGCATATTCTTAAAGATTTTTCAGTCCTGTAAAAAAATTTGTGTTAACTGCTTATCATGTATTGTGTTAGGCTGAAGGATGAGGAAAGATTTACGAGCAAACATTGGAAATTTTGCTTTCAGAGAATAGAGCCTATGAACCCTCCAAAAGTTAGGATTATGAATGTGTAAATAAGCAATTTCAACTTATAAGACTAGTTTTTGTATCATTGTAGCATCTTTTTAAAGATTTCCTGGGTTCAAATTTGACCTCCACAATTGGAGTTTCACATCTTGAGTAAGGTTATTAAGTTCTCTGTTCTGTAGTTTTGCCTTTTACAAAATGGGGATACTAAAAGCAAGGAAGCATCTTTTAGTGTATTGAAATGATTAGAAATCTTCACAGTGCGTTTAATACCATGTCTGACATGGTAATTAATTAATAACCATTAGCTATCATGAGCATGATTTTGATTGTCGTCATCAGATGTTTAATCATCCAGAGGGAATGCTTCAGAGGAAGCCAAACCTCACTTCACTGGGGATATTGTCTTTTATGCTTTGCATCGAACTTTCGATATCAAAACCAACGAAAACCCTAAAGTCAAATGAAGACATGCCAGAAATTTTTAAATGAAACGATGGGAGTGGAGGAGATACAGATCAAGGAAGTAGGACACAGTAAAAGTGTGTGACAGTATTACCGCCCATGGGAATGCGTGGGTATCTTTTCAAATCCAACTAAAATATTGCTGTAATAACTTACTTCACCAATCTATTCTGTTCAGAAAACATTTCTTTCTATATGCTAGAAATTCTTACACTAAAAGTAATACATTTAACTTGCTAGATCATGTGTAGGTAAGAAGTTTTGATCAAAATAAAAATATTTGTCCAAGTCATCGAAAGTAGAAAATTTTATTTTCAACTTACAGGTTGATTAATGTGAATTATTTTAGGGAGGGAAAATTTTTAAAGTTTACATTCATAGATTATTTTCCTTGCCTTTACCGTCCTTATTTTCCTTTTTTTAAAAACAGTAAATACGTTTCTATGCATTTGGAATATGAGTAGATGATTTTAATAGTAAATTTCAGCAATACTATGTGTAAATCGAGGACTCTTAACAAACTTAAAATGTAAATAATCTTTCTCTACCGCTATTTTTCCTTTCATTTATTTTTTCAAAAATAAGCAAGCAAGTTCACTTTCATTTCCTGAAAGCCCTTTTGTCAGACATGTGACTGTGGTTTTTGCAGTGTAGCACAATGTTTGATTGAATGTCAGAGGAAAATCACCCAGATCAAGTTAGAAGAGCTAAGTTGACAGAGTAATGACATTAACAGTCCCTCTTGTTGGTTTGAGATACATAACTCAGCAATCAGTGGCACCAATCATTATATTTTGGTTAAAGTGGGACACATTAGTAGAATCAGCCAAAATTAAAACAACATATCCCATGATGACTTAAAGATTAATAGGATGTGAGAATCATTGTATATATCTGTAGACATGTGTCACAGGTTTAATATATTTAAAGTAGCTTATAAATATATTTATAAAAATATTTCTAAAATAACACAAAATGAGCCCCAATTATTGGGGCCCCAACTAAGGGATGAAATTAGTTGTTCAAATTTTTTTCTTATATTTGAAACTGGTTAAAGAGTCTTTTCTTCAGTGACAGAGTAACATCTCTACCAGTGTAATCTAGAAGATCATTTACATTGTATGCTATTAATTGAAAATAAATTGTCTTTAAAAGTACTATTAAGGACGGGTGTGTAAGACTACACCAGGGGCTATGTGTAGTAGACTGGAATTTTTATGTAAAAGTAAATGTAAGAATACATAATCTTGTGCATATGTTAAAAACAATTGATGATACTATTCTAACTGTCATGATTTTAAGAAAGGTAGCCAGATGGGATAAACATAGTTATTTATTGTAAAAATATTGCAAAGGCAAACAGTTTTCAAATTTCATCTTCTAAGGCTAAAACTCTCTCCCGTATTCCTTTTTTTTTAATGTTTTATTTATTTCTGAGAGGGAGAGAGACAGTATAAGCAGAGAAATGTCAGAGAGAGAGAGGGAGATACAGAACCTGAAGCAGGCTCCAGGCTCTGAGCTGGCAGTCAGCACAGAGCCCGACGCGGGGCTCGAACCCACGAACCGCGAGATCATGACCTGAGCTGAAGTCGGACACTTAACCAACTGAGCCACCCAGGTGCCCCTCTCTCCTGTGTTGTGTCATTCATCATTTTTCCCCAGCTACTGCTATTTGTCAGGATTTCTCTCTCTGCTTCTCACTAATGCATATAATCACTGTTTTTTTTTGGGGGGGGGGGTTCCCTTGTTTAAATAGCTGGTCTATTAGGAGGTTTAAATACACCTCCTAATACAAATTTTACTTATTGTTTCTTTGACATGCTAGTGACTTTAGAGAAATTTGTATTTGTTGTATCCTATAGAGATTTAATAATAAGAAATGTGATTTTCCTGGCTACAAATGACAACCTAGTCTTCAATCTTATGTAAGATGTTATATATAGTACTTTAATTATACTCATATGATACTTTTGCTAATACTAGCATATTTTTCTCAGTTGTGCTTTTATTATTTGGTAACGGTCATGTTTTAGAATTTTAAATTATTTTACATGTCATAATTCCATTGCCACCTGACCATATCACCTATAAGTCATAGAACAAATGTTTAAAATATGTATAGATTGCTCATATACACAGATATGTATTTGAGACTTTAGGAAATAAAAAGCAATGAAAGGGTAAACATTTCCAATAATGAGTTTGATTAAAAGTATCTACAGAGTAAATAGCCTCATATCAGGAATGGTTTCCAACAAAAACTGCCACACTATGGAACTTTAAAAAATGCGATGGTTTCATTTTGCTTAGATGGAGATTATATTTAAACTTAAAACCATTTTTAAACTGCTTTTCCAAACACATGAATTTGTCATGAATCATGACTAACTCTTCTAGATTTCATTTTAAAATCATGACTATAAAAAGAATGCTCAAGAGATTGACATGTTTTGAGAGTATTTTATGTGGTCAAATGTGTGGGTTTTGGTGATCTATTACAGTATAACAAACTGGAAGAATCTTTCAAATAATTATTTTTTAGTAATCCCTTTAAGTACTCAGAATGTAATTACAGACCACCCAATAGGAGCAAACAATGAATTGTTGACAAAATTTAGTAAACCCGGTTTAACAAATGTAAGGGAACAAAAGTGAGAATGCGTAAATGTAATATTTGTTGTTTTATATATTCCAGATTCAGAACAATTTGTGGGCAGGAAATGCGAGTGGCGGTTCTGTGGTTACTTCATGCATGTTACCACGTGACACTTCCTCGTGTATGACACCTTATTCTCACTCGCCTCGGACAGATTCCAGTTACACAGGGTTTTCAAACCACCAGAACCAGTTCAGCCACGTGCCCCTCAACAATTTTTTCACTGACTCTCTTCTGACTGGGGCTACCAATGGACATGCATTTGAAACAAAGCCAGAATTTGAAAGGAGGTCTTCCAGTATTGCAGTCCTTCGAATGAAAGCCAAGGAGCACACTGCCAATATTTCATGGGCCATGTAACATACAGTACTCTTTTATTTTTCTTTTAATGGCAAAGTAAAACATTCTATTTCTCATATTTAAAGGATACCACAATAAGCTGCTGTGTGTGGAATTGCTAAAGGTCAAGATATACAGTGAGACCAGCTTAAATGAATAGTTGTTATTATTTAACATTAAAATCTAAGAATGAACCTCTGGAAACACTAAATAGACTTACCATCCATCAGTCTCCACAAACTCTGTTTTAGTAGTAACATTATTTTTTTCTATTGTACAAGTCGATGAAATACGATCATGCAACTTAAAAGAATAAATGTATTAAACAAATTCCTCTGTTATAGATTGATTTATGTCAGTTTTGTATAACAAGAAATCCCTTGTAAAATAATACCTGATAAAGGAGGAAATGCCCTGGGGAACATGTCAAGATACCAGAGCTGTCAGGTAAATATTGAAGCAGCGTGTTTCGGGGAGTTCACTGTTATTTCTCCTTCTCTGGGTCTAAGACACAATGGGCAAAGCCCCTGTTGCTGAGAATTTATCTTCAGGCCTCAAAGGTTTTTTTACCCATAGATGTTTCAGTGAATTTGCACTCCATGAAATAGCACTCTCTTACAATGACCAGCATTTGCATGAAGTATTTGGGCATAGTTTCCTGAGACCATGTGGCTAAAGGTGATAACTGAAATACTCCAGTGTGATTTAAAATCTAGTCATGAGAGTAGGTTTTATAAATGCCATCTTTTAAATGAAAAAGTCAGCCCTGACGCAGAGAAAAAGCCAACACCGACTCACCTTGCTGATTTTGTATCACACGTTAGAAAAAACAGTAAGTTACAAAACCTGCTGTTGCTTTTAAGTTAAAATGGTGTCGATTACACTGTACACACAAAGATCTAATCAGTACACTAAAAGAGACATTTTTTGATGTGTAACATTATGCTTTATAATATTATGAATCCTTTTCAGTTAAGAGAGCAGCAAATCTGAATTTATATTTATTTCATAGGCTTATGCAAGTGCACATCTGTGCATATTTGTTTTTTGATATATAAGCTGTAAGCATTTTTTGCTACTGTGGTTTTGCATAGGGAATTAAAATGTCAGAAGGCTCTCTAAAATTTCTGGTGGAAAAGAAAAGAAAAATACTTTGCATCTGGAAAATTGCTAACCCCTTTGATTTACTTCTCCTCCCTTTCCCCTGTCACATTCCAGGCTTTTTCAGATGAGTGAAATGTCAACCTCCTTAAAAGACTCTTAATTCATAAAGGCAAAGTAAATTAATTGAAATGAAGATGGCTCTCATGGCTTGGATCAGAGCAAGGTCTGCTCTTTGTACTCTCGTAGAATCTTCCTTGTGGTCCCTCCAGCCTTTAGGAGTATGCTTGGAAGCTGTAAAGGCTAAAGGACAGAAATAAGTGAATTTTAAAAATTAAATTTCACAAAAAGTACTTAAGTCCCCTGTCTTCTTCCCAGTGGGAAAATATTTACAGCAGTTAGACATCTTTTGTAATAAAATTTTAAAATCAAGCAGATGATGGAGATGAGTGGTGTCCTAAACAAACATTCCTTGACTTCATAGTAACTCTCTTCTTTATTACTTTTCTGTTCTCCCTTTTTAGTTTTCTTCCCAGGACAAAGTTGTTCAACTTTGGCCCTGAGAATTATGCTTCCATGCAAGAGCTCTTGTTAGGGATTGTTTAGGCAGCTGTTAAATATCCTTCATGTTTTAAAAGAGAACGACCCCTTTTAATATATTCATATGTCTGATCGATAGGAATTTGTCAACCAAAACTTAGAAGGAAAATGTAAGATTTTCTTTTTAAAAATTCCCAAATCAGGGGGCCTGGGGGCTCAGTTGGTAAAGCATCCAACTCTTGATTTTGCCTCAGGTCATGATCCCACAGTTCGTGAGACTGAGCCCCATGTCAGGCTCTGTGCTGGCAGAACAGAGCATGCTTGGGATTCTCTCTCTCTCCCTCTCTCTTCCACCTCTCTCTCACTCATGTGCACACACTCTCTCTTCAAAATAAATAAACTTTTTTTGATATTTATTTTTGAGAGACAGAGAAAGAGAAGAAAGAGAAAGAGCAAACAGGGAGGGGCAGAGAGAAAGGGAGACACAGAATCCCAAGCAGGCTCCAGACTCTGAGCTGACAGCACAGAGCCCCAGGCGGGACTCAAACCCATGAACTGTGAGATCATGACCTGAGCGGAAATCAGATGCTTAACTTACTGAGCCACCCAGGTGCCCCATAAATAAATAAAATTTAAAAACAAATAAATATTTTTAAGTTAGTAGTATTCATGTTCATTTTCTTCTTTCTTAATTGAAATTTTAATGTCCCGTGGCTAATACATTATATGTTTAAAATGAGAGACAGAACTCATTTTTGAATCAAGTTTGAATTTCATTTCATCCTTTAGTTTTCCTACTGGAGAACCTATTGGAAAACTAAGGGAAAATGTGAAGTTCAAACTTGATCATCCCCTAGTTTTCTCATTATATTCTAATAATTAGTTGGAGCTTCTGTAACTCAACTTTTTTTTCAATTTTAACAACATCTTTTTAATTGAAGCTCTATATCTACAATGCTTTGTATAAATTTAATTCAATCAGCACTTTTTTTAATGCCTACAGTGTGTGAAGCACTTTCTGGGATAATAAAATAAATAATAGAACCATGGTTTTTGTCCTTGATGAGTTCACAGTCTTCCTGGACAGACATACCCATAAAGTTTGCATTCTCAACCATGCCTCACAATTTATGATGGCAATAAGAATTGACTGCATTTTTTTTGTGTGTTAACATTCTGACCTTTCCTTTTCATTGGCTGAATTTTATTACATATTTAAATTACTAAGATACAATAAAATGAACTTTTGATGTAATAGGATAAGATAAAGCTAAAACAAAGAATGCATAAAATGCACTTCCTGAATTTCCTCTTGCTATTTCTGAACTTAGGTTAAACTTAGTTTCATAAACTAGAATTCGTATCACTTATAAAATGTCGAACTTAAAGACTTAAGAGAGGAAAAACTAAGGGTATATAATTTACTTTTATTTGGGCTCAAAGTATTGACAGTATTGCTCGCTGGGAATTTTGGTCCATTATGCAGTTGACTTGGTTGGAAGCTTGTTCCCATGACATTCCCATCCCCTCCTTGCACCTTCCGCACATTTTTCTTGCACAGATGGTTTAAGGGATGATTCTCGCACTCTTTCTCCTGAGCGGTTTGGTTAAGATCTGGTCTTCATGAGACAAGATAAATTTAATGGAGAATAGGTAAGATTTGCAGTTTCTTTTATAAACATAAAATGAACTTTCAGAAAACAGTTTGTGGATTTTTGAAGATACATAATCTACTTAAGAATAGTAAATAGTGATTCTTTCCTTTCTATCTAACTTCCTATGAAATCAGAAAAAGAAAGCCACTGTAATCTTTGCCCTCAGCCTTGACAACGTATCTCAAAAGAATAGCAGAGCTACTTAACCTATATAACCCGGAGGAAACTCATGAGATTGAGTATATAAATTACTGGAGTGTATTCATTTCATCATTTCAGTAGGCTGTTGATTTTTTTACTTCCAAGGAAGGAAAGAAGGGGCATACATACTCAGTTAACACAGTTCTTATGTTATTGTTTCCTTTTAGGGTCTCTCTTGTCTCAAATACTAGCTGCTTACTTGACTTCCACAGTGCAATTCACGTATCGCCTCTCTGTGTTTTATATAATATTGTTTTCTATATAAGGTTGTAGTTTTAGTCTACCAGCAGCTAAACAATGTCTTGGCTTAAAAAATAAATGGAAAGATAAACCACAATGTTTGTGTGAGCTGTTTGAAAAAGTTAAATAATTTTCTAAACTTTCCAATGACCCTGAGTTTGTTTTTCAATATTTAAGTGAAGTAGAATTATAAATGATGAGTAATGGTTAGATATAATTTTAATAATTAATTTAGTAATTTTTTATTTGCTGCCATATATTTTAGGAGAAATATAGAAGTAATCTTATTTTTAAAATCCTAGTTGGGCTAACTTCTTTTTTTCTCTGACTAGAATATGAAGGTATATGTTTATTATATAAAACATAATTGTTAATTTTCAGCCACCTCTACTTTAAGAAATTAGGCATCTAAAATTTCAGCAGACATTATTTCCTTATAGCTATTCATATTTTGCATTGAAGAAACTATGGCTTTTTGTAAGGAAATCTATTTAATAAAATGCTATATGAAGTAGTACTTTTGTTCGTAGCCTCAAAGTCTCATTGCATAATTTTATACAAGCCAGGCAGTAATGTCCCTAACAATCTAAATGAAAGCAACATCAGAAGTGAAATGCTTAGCAGAAAAGTCCTTATTTATGGAAGGAATTCTCAAAAAGAGATTAAACGAGATTCTGGTTTTCCTAAAACAGGAGTTTTGTTTGTTTTAATAACTCTCCTTTGTAAATGAACATATTGCCATGGTTTATCCTAGAAATATATTGCAAAAATGGTGAACAAGTCTTCAAGACAAGGGCTAGCTAATTCTTCAGTTTTCCTGCATAAAATAGGCGAGAATTGAAAGCTTTTTCTGTTCCTTCCTTGCCTTAGAATTGTATATCACTATGCATTCTTTAAGTTCCAGGGGCAAATAAATGACTTCACTTGAGTATTTCATCATGACACTATTTTATAGCACGTCTGGCTTTAGAGACGTTACTTACTGACGTTTTTCATGCATCTTCACAAAATATACACTTGTAGTATTTTCTTTAGTTATTTGCCTTAACATACACTTTAAAGACTTCAGAGAGCAATTCAGGGTAATCACCAGCATTGTCAAAACATGACAAGTTTTTAGTAGAAGGCTAAAGGAGCCCCCTACAGGCTATTTACGCCATCCAACTGGTGGACAGAAAATGATTCAAACTCCCCAAATCGATAGAGCAGGTTTATAACTTAGGTGGCAGTGGAAGTAGAGGAGAATGTATCTCTGGATAGAAGTCAGAGAGGGTCTATATCCTG